ACCCAAGTGTTCCGGCACTGCACGTTAAATTGCGTGCGTGTAGCCTGTCGTGCTTCACATCCTTCTATGATTGCTCTAGAAGGATTGCTCTTCTGTTCTTGCTAATTAATAAACTATGTGGCTGATCATCCTCTGCCTCCTGCCAAGCGTAAAGAATCAATATCTCATTTCTTCCAGCTCAAAAGGAATCCCTAAATTATATCCAAATAAAATATTTCATTGCATACTGTTTATTTTTGGATAAAGACGCAGGTGAAAAGTTAGAAAGATCTTTGAATATTTCTCTCTCATAGTTCTCATTTCTATCTTTTTAAATATGATGTAAACACTTCCTTGTATTATCATTAAAATATTTCTATGTTTATTTTTAAATATTTGAATATTTAGTTAACGTATTCATCCAATTTAGGTCAGAATTGACAAGGCATTATAAGGCAAATATGTAGGTTCTCTCCTGTATTTTTTTTTTAATATCAGATCCCTGTGAATTTAAATATACTTTGACCCCTGAGCAGTAGTAACAAAGGGGTAAATTCTCAGAAATAAAGCCAAAATTGCCAAAGTAGAAAGAAAATGTTTCTGTTCTTAGTTTTCTTTGGAGTAATTAAGATTTTTAATGATCTGTGTGTAACGCAAAATTTATAGTAGATCAGGAAGAGTTTGCTTTGGAATGGAAACCTTGTGTGTTTTAAACTATTCCTTTATTGTACATTTAGTTAGCTTTTTGGCCTGCTATAATAAAAAAATGTTGATGTGTAGAAATAGATCATCTATTTTCACAGCTTTTGTGAGACACTTTTTTATAAAGTAGGGCATAATTCATCGAAAAGTTTATTTGAATTCTATCCATATCCAGCAATTGTAGTATCTAGGCAAGAGCTGTGAGTCTGGTAAAGAATCTGGTTGTTATTTGAAATTGTAAAGGTTAACTTTTTTTTCTAACATAAAACTGACTAAAACCTTTTTAAATTTTAGTCGACTAAAACCGACTAAAAGTATCACATATTGTAATGACTAAAATGTGATTAACACTAATAAAGTTTTCATCCTGAAGACTAAGATTAAATCTAAGATACCTGTCACAAACAATATTGTTTTTTAAAGTAACGTAGTGTTTCTGATATCCAGACCTTTCTGCCTCTAAACTACTGAGCTTTCCTGTTCCATTCTGAACAGGAATGCCTTGAATTCTCTGTAGAGTCCTGGAACCCTGCGCAGCCTATTCCTGTTCTTATTGGTATCCCTGATGGGGCTTTGCATCTGCCGTATCTTGTTGGCAATTCACCGACTGGATCCAACCTCGTTCTAAGGAGATGGACTGAACTGTGAAACCAGGTAAGTGACTCACATGATAATCATCCTCCGTCAGATTATTGTCATCACTTACCTGTGTTTTTCTCCTATCCAAGTTTTCCAGGGATTGGCATTGCCCTGCCACAACCAATGCAAATGCAGATCCGCAGATATGCTTGTTTATTTTCAATAAACACTTTGAATTATCCCACTGTCTGTCTTGCCTGAATTCTTGGTCCTTCTGTCCTGCCTTTCTGATATTATCACATCATATCATTTTATAGTTATTTTTCATAATTCTCATTGTAATTATTTCTATTTTCCTAAATTACTCATATTCATATATTATTTAATTGCCCCTGTGATGTTCTTTTCTCTGTAATTTTTCAAAAAAAAATTTTTTATGTACAGCACTATCCTTTCAACTGAAATACGTTTTGTGAATAGACTTGCCTTGCTTTTCCATTATTATACAACTGATTTTTGCCCATAAGCATTTTAGTTATCCTCAAGGACATATTACCAAAAAAAATTGCTGTCAAATTATATTATATTTTAGATATAACCTAGGTTTGTGTAAAGCAAGTGTCAACTCCTGAAATTATAGGGGGAAAGGGTGTTGGTTAATATTTGTTGGGATTTTTGTTTTCTGCACAGATATAAAGTGATCTTAATTAAGCATCCACCTTATACTTACCATGGGGAGAGACAAAAGCTTCCTCGCTAGGTTTTGATTTACCTTTTTTTGCAGCAGAACCACCACCCACACAAACCACCAGAAGGACCAACGGAACAACAATATAAGCACTAGGTGATTAGATCCTATTAAAAATATATAGGAAGGAAAGTTATGGTTAAATCCTCTGTAAACTTTTAAATGTAAATCAGAAATGCTGTTTTACTCACCAGAGTCAACATCCAGCTTAACAGACATTGCCAGGTTGCCTTGTTGGTCATAGAAGTTAAACGTTCCAGAATCTTCTGCTGTCACTGATTTAATTTCAATGCTATTATTCTGAATAGTAATTTCTCCCCTCGAATCCAGTGCCTTCCAAAACTAGTTGATTTTTGATCATCACCCTCTGTTTGTTTATTTTTTGACTTGAACACCACATCCCAAGGTCCTCCACGCTCAGGAAATTTAATGAAGAGGCTCTCATTCACTTCAGTTTATAATCCTGGGTTTCTTCTGTGTTTGGTAGATTAGGGCATAGATTGTATATTTAATTTCTACAAGATAATAGATAGAAAATTCCACATGCAGCTTAAAACAGATTTAAAAATGTACCTTTTATAGATAGCTTTATCGTTAGCTCAACTTTTTTGTCTTCACGAACAAACAAGTAGAATCCTTCGTCTGCCTTAGTGAGATTGACCATTTTCCAGACATTGTTCCTTCACAATCACTCTTTTATCAGTGTTTTGACTTTTTGTACGATCCCAGAGTTTTTTTCCAGTTTTTCAGTCGAACCCTTAAAATACAGGTACTGAGCTCTTTCAGGAACCCCAAGGGAAACACTCTCCATATACTTCTTTGTAATACATTCTGAAATAACACAATAAAACAAAAAGTGAATTTATGTGTAAATCCTGTTGATTGAGAGAATATGATTTTTTTAACATTTTAAATGAAATAATTTTTAACTTTCATTTAAAGAGGATTATTTAAGTGTTAAATTAGCTAGAATATCTTAACACATAGTAAAGCGTCTGAACTCCACCCATCAACCCAACATAAATAAATACAAAAGCAGGAAAAAGTGAAATTGTATGAGCTGCACAATGAATCGTTCCTTAAGATATTAGAAATACCACTTGTTTTGTGACAAATAAAAATGTCCAAATTCTGAGCCAATGATTAAATTCAATTCTCTTAAGCATTCAATCCCTTTTTAGTGGGAAAGATAACCAAATTTATTAGACATTTACAGTATCAAAAAAATTAATTAAAACATTAAAATTATCTGGTGAAAAAAGTGCAAGTAGATGTATTATAGTTTGTAAGAAAATAGTTTGCATAGTTTGTAAAAAATATCAATCAAATCATAAACAATATATTCATAAATTCTACTTTTTTCTAACAACTTTTCTGGTTGTAAGGGTAATTATAAGAAAGATGAAACACAAAGTCAATCACATTGCATGTTCAGTTTATTTATCATGAGAGTAGTTCTTACCTATTACTTTTACCTCATACTGTTTACAAGCCCTCTGAGAGATGTAAATTGATATTTTCCTTCATCTTCTTTTTGCAATCCTTTAAGAAGTACTTTGCTGTACGAACTGTGATACGTGGGTCTGTAAGCCTGAAAAATGTTAAAACACAAGTGAAATATTATACAGACATGCTAGATTCTAGAACAATTATTTCATAATATAAATAACAGCAGGAGCTACACATTAAATGTACAGAAAATTTTAAATATCACTATAAAGATTTTTTTTTTAATTTACTCAAACAAAAAGTAGTAAGTACTACCAACTGAACCACTTGTACCATCAAGATGGAGGTGAAGAGAAATAATCTAAGCGGGATGCCATAGAGACAGTCCTACAACCTAAGCTGTGGTAAGAGTGGAATAAAATCAGAATTTTAGTGAAAGAACAGTTTTCCATCCTAAGTAGTTTACATAAACACAGCTAAATATCTGCAAAAATAGTTTTTCTAGATAGAACATCTACTATGAAATATCACAATTAATTCTCACAAGCTCTTGTTTTTTTTTTTTCTCAGAAATTGATTCAGGCTCTCGTATAACAAAACAACACAATATAAGTTTGAAATGTAAGAAAAAACAAAACTATAAACAGTTTTTGTCTAGCTCTATGATGAAAATCAGCTTATCTATAGTGAAACAGAGAAGATAAAATGACAAAGCTAAAAGTTAGATAACACAACAATTTTATTTCCTTTTTTTTAATGAAGAGAAGTTTTAAATTTAAAAATCTTACTTTTCTAAAACCGAACAAAAACATCACTGAAAAAAACAAAAATATATTCCCTTTCCCCTTTATACTTTAACTTTTTTCCCCCTTTTGCCTTTTCAGTTGAAATGAAAATCAGATTCCCTTCTTTTGTCACATTTTTTCCCACCTTCCCAATTGAATATTTCCGCCTTTGAAAACTTGAATTTTTAAAGTGTGGGGCCTACATTGAACAAAAAACCGGTTTAAAAAACCCAAGCACTAAATTCCACAACAGAGAAAAAAAATTATGTACCCCTATAAAATGACCATACATAAATATGCAATTAATCAACCCGGAGTTTAAGTTGGGAAAAGGGGCCACAGGGACATGAAACGGGAAGGGCCGGGAAATTAAACTACTAAAAAATTTGTGGGAAATGGCCTTTCCCTTAAAAATTTAAACCCCGGGAAATTCGGGAAATTAGGGGAAAAAAAAATGTTTTTTTTTAAGCCCAAAAACGCCCAAAATTTGGGAAGTTCAATCAATTTTAACAATTGCAGTCATAATTAAATTCGGGTTAAACCAAAAGGGAAAATTCCAGAATTGAAAAGGAGCAGAAAAAAAGACAAACCTTTGTAGACCCCCCCCCCCTTTTTCCCAAAATTTAATTTTTTTCCAAAAAAAGTTTGTCGTCTCCCCAGGGCCCACTTTTTCCAAAGGAAATTTTAGTTTAAAAACCAAAAAGTCACCCCAAACCAAAGAAAAAGTTCCCCACAAATAGCCCCCCTATTAAAATTTATTTTTACCCTTTTGGGGAAAAACCGAATCCCCTTTGCCGGGGGGAAGGGGGGTTTTTCCCCCCGGGCCCCCCCGGACCCCCCTTCCCCCAGATCCGGGTAAACCAAAAAAACCCGGCCAAAAAAGCTTTAAAAAAGGGTTTTTTTCCCGCGCCCCCCCCCCGGGGGATTTAAAAACCTTCCCCCTTTACACCCCCTTAAAACCCTGGGGGGTTAATTCTCCGGAACCGGGCGGCCCCCTTTCCCCCACTCCCCTCGTCCTGTTTTATGACGATGTGGGGTTTTAAACGGCTAGGTTTTGAGGGAGGGGACCAAGCAGCTCCCGGGCGGAAAATGCACCAAACGCTTGGTTTGTCAACCGCCGTAAAAACCCCCAAGAAAAGAAGACAAATGAGGAGGGAATTAAAAAAGCAAATCAAAAGGGGCGGCCCCGTCACATTCAGAAAATTAGGCTTGATTATTTGGAGTTTTTTAAACCATTCCGTGTTTGCGGTGGGTCAGGCGAAGACGGAAACCCTTTTTGCGCGGTTTGTATTTTGAGAAAAGCCGGTTTTTGGGGAAGCCGACTTTTTTTGGAATGGAAGTGTGAACCCGGAAAAGTTCGGGCCTTTTCCCAGGGGATTAAACGCGTTCTGCTCTTTTGCGCTCTTTTTTTTCAAGAACCGACCGGGGAAAAAAAACCAAAGCCAAAACCCACCTGGGGAACGGGTCTGCAGTTACGCGGGCCCCGGTTATGCCCCAAATCTCTTTTCAGTTCGGGTTTGTTTCCGTTCCAAAACGCAAGTTACTAAATTCTGAGCTCGGCCCCTTTTCTGGCTCATTTTTTTAAGGGTAGGGGTAAAGGGGGTAAAAGGGTAGTCCCCGCCCCTATTAGGGGATTGGGGTTTTTGGGGGTTTAAGGGCGTGTTTGGGCACAGTTACGGGTAGTTTGTATGACCTATAGAACAGTAGGTTTTAAACAGTGCATGCTCTCATACGGGGCAAAATTTTTAAATATTAAAAGGAACCCAAATGTCTATCATCGGGTTTTTCCCCGTAAATCGGGAGGAAATTTTTATTTGGGGCACAGAACATTGTAAAAAAATGGAAGTTCAGTTTAATATAAAATTCCAACTCTTTTGAAAAAGTTCCGTCTGAAATTAATGAAAATTGTTTTTTAAAAATGGTTATTGAGCCCAGATATGGGGCGGTAATTTTTTTGGTTTATTTTAAATTTTTTATTAGTGCGGGTCAAAATTATCGCTTTTTTATCGCTTAACGCAGGCCATTTTAACGGCGAAAAAATTTCTTTAACGTGAGATTAACGCATGTGGTTTTTTTGGTCCCTTTTTTCCAAGTAAAACCCGGCCACCCTTTGGGGGAAAAGGCGGGGCTATTTCCCCCCAGTGTATGCTTTTTCTCATAGGCTTCGGACGGACTCCTCGGGGGAAAAAAAACCGCCATAAAAGGGGGGTGAGGGCTATCCTTTTTTTTTAAAGGGCCCCCACCACCAAAAAAAGTTGAGTGTCTGGTAACTATAGCCCCCTTTGAAATACGCTGAAAAACCCGAAAACTAAATGAAAGGGGAATCTCGTACAGAAACTTTTTTGCCGTCTGGGGTACGCCACAGGTCGGTACCCTTGTGTGTGTGTGTGTGTGTGGGGTGGGTGTGTCTGTGTGTGGGGGTGGGTTGGGTGGTTCTCTTTTTTGTTAAAGGCTGAAAAGTAAACTTTCTGAGGCTTTAGACAAAACCTTTTAAACTATGATGTGGGCTATTGATTTTGATTTTTGATTGAAAATTGTTCATTATTACCTTTTTTTTAATTTAAACATCTAATGTTAACTCTACAAAATTTTTTATAGCAGTGGGGTAAAAGGGTTTGTTTTTGTTCAAAAACTATTAACGGGTAAAGAACTGTCATTTACATCACCTTTTTTCGGGCCTTTTTTTTTTGGTTTACATATTTGTTATTTTTTGCTAAAAGGGCCTTTCCCCACTTCTTGCCATTTTGTTTCCAAGGGCAAAAATCAGTATCTGTGACCCTGTTTTCCATTTTAAAAAAAAAGAACTTTGGGGCACAAACCACCCTGTAGGGTATTTTTTTTGTTTTTGTAAATCGAGAGTATTTAAAGGATTTTCAATCGGGAAAAAAAAATTTTCGTTTAAAATTTCAAATTTTAATCGCATTTTAACTCAGGAAATTGATCCGTTTAAAACGCGAATTAAAAAATTTAATCGTTTTGCCCCACACTATTTTTTAAATCTGTTACTGTTTTAAAGAAGTTTGGCGGGAAATTTTTAAGGGAAAAGGGGAATTCTAATAGATCTGCAGATTGGGAAAAAAAATTTAGATAAAATTTTAATTTTTTTATTTTTGGGTTTTTGCACAATTTGCTTAACTAAGTTTTTTTTTTGTTGAAAAATTAGAGATTTTCCCAGATATATTTTGAAAGATCCGGGTTTAAAATTTACTTATATATTTCAAACCCCTTTTTTATAGAAAAGAATGGGAAAATCACTTTATTGCCCCCACAATGTCAAATTTCAGAAACAAAAAAAATATTGAAAATGGTCCACAAAATGAGGATCTTAAAGAGAAATGTATAAGAAAAACATAAATTAGGGAATTTTTAAAAATTTTAAAAAATAAAATCCTGTAAAGTTTTTTAACAAATAAAACTGGGGAAAAAATAACCAAAAATGCAGCAGG